ATCGTGGTGGGTGCTCTCTTCAGAAGCTTTTCGTCTACAAGCCACCGAGTTGAATAAGCCCTTAGCGTTCTGTCCACAATTGGTTTGTTATGGGGATTCTGTGCATTCAGTCCATACATTTTCTTGGGGATTTTTCTTGTGAGTAGGGACTACACAAAGAGAAGGTTCTTGCATGACATGGCAAAGACAAGATATGGCCCCTGCCCTCTGATGGGAAGGATTATGGGGAAGGAAGCACCTCTTCGGAAACCCCAGAGGGTGAGCAGCAGGGTTCCATGGTCAGGAAACCCTGCAGACGTCCTCCAGCTGCACTGCGCACGCTCAGCCGCCGGCAGAACCCTCGCCCCACCTTGAACTGTCTCACTCCTGTCTTTCCTGCTCTGTCCCAAGTATAATTAACTGCCTTCCGACTGGCACAAGACCTCCCTCTGCTATTAGAATGTCACCACCACCACGATGGCCACCTTATGTCACTGCTTTCCCCACCGTCCACCACAGGTACAGTGGCCAGCATTGCAAAGGCGCTCTATATTTTGAATGGATAACTGACTGCGCTAACCAACTAAATCAGCTGCATGTGATTAGATGGATTAAGCAACTCAGCTGGACCCTAGCCCATGTGGCTCAGTAGGTTGGGCGTCATTCCGCAAAGCGAGAGGTCGCCGGTTCAATTCCCAGGTAGGACACATCCCTGGGTTGAAGGTTCAGGCCCCGGTTGGGGCGTGTGTGAGAGCTGGCCAATCAACGTGTCTTTCTCACATCGACATAACTCTCCCTCTCCTTCTTCCTCCCTTCCCCTCTCTCTAAAAGAAAATGTTAAAAACCTTTTGTAAAAAATTTTTTATAAAAAGTAGCTGAGACTGAGGTAGGCAACAGTGTTTTACGGCGTGTCCTGAGATTCACAACGGAAAACGAATCACCTGTTTTATGTATTATCTCTTTCTGCCGATGTGAATGCGGTGCTTATAGAAGAAGCCAGTGGCCGTGTATGTGTACAGGCGGGCCAAACCCGCTCCACGAGGAAGAGCCAATGGCCGGGAGCACGGAACCCGCTCCTCCTGTGGGCCTCCCCTGCATCTCCACCTCGCGTGCCTACCCGATACTGCTGACGCTCAGCTCCGCCTGTCATCGTTTTCTCTGTGTTCCACACAGACGTGCCTTTTATTCGTTACTTCCTCGGAAGTTCTCCCAAATGGAATTCCCTGTCTGTCTCCCAAAGCTACTCGTAGAGTAGGCACTCAGTCGGTTCTTGAGGAACTGACTCATTCAGTCTATATTCCCACTTCCCTTCTGGGTAAGGGCTGCTGCTGACTGTGAGCGTTTTGCCGGTGTAAGAAGTGAGTGACCCATGATCCTACTTTACCCTGCACATGTCTGATGAAGTAAATGACCAATACCATAATATAAGAAAATGCTTTTATTCCTAATTTTTAGTTCCCATACAGTTAACAAGTACACTTTTACTCTGATAATACGGCTTTGCAACTAGCAAAGCAGTTGAACTAACACCCATAAATATAAGCGGGGAGACAATTAACATCCACTAAGGCTTCTCTACATAAACTATTCTTTTAATGTCACTTTTTAAAAAAACAATTGCAAATAGACTACATAATGTACGTGAGCAAAAAGGCAATTAAGTGAATCTCTTGAAATACTACATGTATAATAAACAGTGCATATTATCAACATTTACATGATTCACATCAAAATGATGACGCCCTAACACACGTTCCTTTTAAAGGATAGATTTATCAATAAAATATTACATAGCTTTTAATACTCTGGTACAATACTTCATATACTGCTGGAAAATTAAATGCATGTCTAAGTCAACAGCTTAATAAAGGATCCTTTCCCACTAGCTTTTATTAATAAAAGAATCACAATTAGGTCATAAATAAAACAGGCAAATTATTAATCACATGATTCGAGGTTTAGGATGAAAACTTGTCAAAGTTAGCTGGATAGACAGCGAAGTTATACACCACACTAAATCCGACTGAGCGAACTGCCCATAGTGGGAAAAGAAGTAAATGTTGTCACGATGGAAGATACAATAAACTATATTTTGCAACTTATTTTTCAAGAGGAAGAGGGGGGGAAAAAATCAACACAATCAAGGGCTAAGAGAGATCCTAAAAAAGGCATTGCAGAGTCAGGGGTGCCCTGTGCTTGCTATACAAAACCTCGTTCCCCCAACGGCACCCAGAAAACTAGCCGTGCTGGGTTTGCACTTGTGTCTACAGCCCAAGTTTCCCTCGTGGATTAATAAGCCACAGCAAAACACTTCACCACCGCCTACCTTCCCACACTCCCCTGAACTAGAAAAAACCCGAGACCTTATCTTAGTTGTAAAATCCCCTGCGAAATAACCCCTAAAAATAATCTGGATGATTTCCTTGTTTGTTTTTTTCCCCAAAGCAACTGGGCTCCTTAAAGAATGCAAAACACCATGAAAGTTATACATATATTTTCTCAACTCCATTTAACCACATTGGAAAAGTCATTGATTTCCATGGACCAGATGGCCGTAATTTTCAGGAGGACCACACACGGGGTATGAGGTGTATTTTTATTTTCTATAAAAGTTATTAAGACTGACATGTGGCTTTAAAAAAAAAAAAACCCGAATACCATGTGCCAGATAATTTCTTCCCCCCGAATATAAAATCCTATGCTTATAATTTAAAAATATTCAACCAGCTACAGGATATTGTGCAAATTTTCTGTCCGGCGGCAACCCAGAAGCCAACCACGTACATTGGTCTATCGCTCCTACTCTCCAGCTAACCTGACTCAGCTGTGACCGACTGCTCTGGCCCCGGGCCCCGCACCGTCCTCAGAAACCCCTCCCCTCTGGAACTTTCATTTCCACTTTTTTAAACCTGCACCTCGAGTTCCCCATCTTCACCTGCGTGATTCCATCCCACAGAGAGAAATCTCACCTGAGAACCTGCGATTCCCCTTTCATCAAACACACAACAAACCTTAGCAACCGAGGGACTATCATAACCTTGTCTGGGCATACACTGACCTCACCTGGCAGCTTGCTGACCTCGTGGAGGGAAATCTAAATGGAATCAATGTCCTGTCACACAGAGGGTTGGCCGAGATCAGCTGCTTCCATTCCAAGTGCAAAAACCACCCATCTGAAGCTGCAGGCAGAGACTGAATGTAGCGGGTATATTTGTGTAGCAAACCCTTGTATGCTGGTGAAAGACTTTGCCCCTGAAGTCTAGTGTCAAAACATTCCCGAGAAATCAAGGCCAAACGGAAGACCATTCGATGTGACGATGCAATAGAAAGAACAGGGTTCAAGGACCTTATTGCGAATACTGAACTTCACCCCCTCTCTCTGCAGGCTCGGCGAGAAGACAGCCGGCGTCTGCATCCCTCTTATGAGGTGGTCGCCTCCAGGCCACACCTGTGTTCTGAAGCAGTTCTAAGTGCCATGGCCTGGCGGGGAGGGTCATGGGGGGGACGCTGTGCTGTGTCTGTGAGAATGGCAGCCGCCGCTCGCCCCGATCGTGACCCTCAGTGGGGAGCTACCACCAGGGCTGGAGCTGGGCCTCGCTTTCGGGAGCAAGAGCAAGGAGAATTCCGGAAAGGAGGCCGTGCCGTAGCATTTTATTATCCTCGCCAAGTCACCCACTGAGGCTTGGACGGAAGCACGCTCACCGCACGACGATTTGACACAGGAGGGCAAAGGGGGCTGTTTTGGGAGAAGGCACTTCAGGGAGCACGTCAGCCGATCTGACCGCTCGGTGGAAACGAGCTACTGCCGAGGCCGTCCGGCCAGCGGCCCCGTGGGCGCTGCCCCTCCTCGCGGAGCCCGCCGCAGGGCAGGCGAGCGCAGGGCTGGGGGCCGCTGCTCCACCCCGCCTCCCTCTGCGAGGGCCACACTGACAGGGTGCTGCTTGCCCGTGCTCTGCCCCCTAGACACAGCCATCCTTACGAGACCCGTTTCCCCAGGAGACGGTTCAGAAAAGACCAGAACGGGTGCAGGGAGCGTCTGGAAGGCCCGCTCTCTGTCTCACGTCCAGCTTACGCACCAGCCGTCACAGGCAGCTCCAGCTTCCCCAGGTCACTCACTAGCTACTTCTGCCAACAATAGCTTTTATTCCCCTCAGCACTAGTCCTGACAGTCTGTTGCACCAGAGACCACCCCCTCCACAAACCACACCTCCGCCTCACGCCCCAGGGCCGTCCCCTCTTCCTGAATCTGTGCCGGGCCTGGGACTTGCTCTAATCAATAGCGGGCAGAAGGGATGCTGAGATGGTTCAGGGTTTAAGTCATGGGAAGGCCTGGCCACTCCTGCCTTGTACTCTTGGGAGCTCTGAATTGCCATGTAAGAGGTCCAGCCACCCTGCGGGCGAGGCAGCCACGTGGAAAGAGCACATGAAGAAGGGGCGACCGGGGACCTCGTGTGGGGAGCGAGGCCCGGCTGCCCCAGTGTCTCAGCCAACCTGCCGACCAGCAGGGGGCACCAGCAAGATGGGCGGTGGGACAGCTTGGCTGAGCCCGGTCCGGCTTCGAGGACGGTCAGGAACAAATAAAGAACTCTGGTAAGCCACTATGTTCCGGGGAGGTCTGTTAGCGACAGCCGGTAACCGAGACACTGGCTAGTCACAGGTGCACTCTCCCTAAACACACGGATGAAAAAAAAATACACACGGCGAGCATTTCCCCACCACAGCCTTCTCAGGCAACGGGCTGAAAGGGCATTGGTCGTCCGCAAAGAAAAAAAGCGTGCCTTTTATTCTAAATTCCCATGATTTTTTTAATGGCGATGCAGAGGACAGTCCACTCCTGGCAGTCTGGGGCAGGCGCTGGCTTCGTTATCATCTAGCCGAAGAGAGAGGCCATCAGCATGGACCACCCGCTGCTGACGAGTGACGCCGAATGACACTGCGCTGGCTGGCACAGACCGCTGTTACTTGATTTCCCCCACTTTCTCCTCTAGCAATTGCCCTACCGCTCCCCATGAAGTGGGGGGAGTAAATGTTCTAAGGTTATACAAAGGAAAAAAAAAAAAGCCAGTAACTAGGATTCGAAGCATCACCATCTGCAGAGCAGAGGGCACAGCCGAGCTGCCTCCTCCGTGTGGAACACAACTCCGTCGAGCCCGCCGCTGTCCGCAGGGGCAGAGGTGGCTTCCCATCGGAGGACGGCGGTCACCGGGAGGCAGGTGTTGCTGGGTGAGAAGACAAGGGTCTTTAAACGGTTTCACATTCTGTTCATCAAAGAAGGGGGAGTCGACCACAACGCAAGCCTTCAAGTTTCAAGTTCACGCTTCACATCAACTGCCTTGCACCTGTTCTTGATCGTTTCATGGAGAAGTTGAAGTCTACATCTGGGGGAGAGATAAGTTAGAATTTTTAAGGGGCACGTGTCTAGAAGTTTGCAAGGCATTAAACCACTTAAAAAAATAGCTTTACAGCTTTTCAGTAGACTGCCCGTTGACACGAGAATCTCAACATGAAATACTGAAAACGGTGAGTTTCCAACTTACTAAAACACACATCGCACATGGGTCACTGTTTAAAAAGGTGACTGACAGGGAGGAGGTGGACCAGGGACATGAACTCCCAGCTCTAGAGCTGGGAGGGACGCGGAGCGGAGCCGGTCGGAGGCCCGGACTGTGCAGCGCCCTGGGTCGCGTGGCCCGGCGGCGGAGGCGCCCCGACCCCAGCCGTCCCCACGCTGCCCAGGTCCCTGCACACCTCCTCCCGGCGCAGCCTGGGTCGGTCAGCGCCAACAGAAACGGCAGGCACGCCGGCCTCCGGTGCCCATCGCCAGTGTCAACCATTTCTCACTAGTAGGTGCTACCCTGGCCCTTCGCAGAATGAACTCTGCATTTGGTTTTAACGCTCGATGAACTCTAAAACAGACCCGCTTTGGGAAAAAGAAGTTCAAAGGGAGGAAAAAGGAGGCTGGCTCGCACAGCTCCGTTATCGGACACTCTGCTGAAACGCTCGCAGCCTCTCTGCCCGCTCGAAGGGGCCACGGACGCCACGGAGGACGAACGGACACGGCCCTTGCGCTGGGATACCCACTGCAGGAGCCTCGGCGGCGCTCTCATCTGAAGCTCTTCTGCTGCTGCATGAGACCCACGTTTTCATAGACTCGGGCGCTGTCCTCCCTCATCCTGCAACGAGAAGGACGAGCACGTGAGCAGAAACGCACACCACGCCGCCGTGTGGGGCGCCTGTGAGGCACCCGGTACAATATATTCTCTGGGGACCAGCTGCGGTGGAGACACGGTCCCGCCCTCCCCCCGCCCCCACCCCCCCAGAGCTGGCGTTTTAGGGCAGGACAGAAGACACGACGACCGTACGGCAAAATAAACTGGAGTTAAAGCGGAATAAGAGCCTTGAGCCCCACCCTGCTCGGGGGGTCTGGAGGAGAGTGAGCTGTTTTCCAGGCGGGCAGAGCAAGAGAGGACTGCACACAGAGCCCCCTGGGTCAGACCGTGGGACACGGAAAGGAGTGGCTCTAGTTTCAGGCAGAAGGGTCTGAATGGGCCAGAGTCCCAAGACGGCAGGTAACGCACAGGAGCAGTCAGACCCCGGATCTGGCTACGCCAAGGGGACCATGGGGGCGTGAAGCTCAGTGGTGGGGTTGGGGCCCCGGGAGAGGGACCAACGCATCCGAGCCCCAGCTCTGCACGCGGAGCCAGGCAGGCCGGGGGGATGAGGAGCCCCGCGGCGGTGGGTGCTAGCCCTAAAACCAGCAGGAGGGGCTCGGGGCCCCGGTGTCCTGGGGCTGCTCCCTCTGTGGGGAAGGGTGGGAACAGAGACAGAGAAGCCGGCAGTTGCAGGCAGGCACCCGTGACAAGGGAGTCGTCTGAGCTGATTCTGTTGGGCCAACACCACGGTGGGGCGGGGGAAGCTTTCTGGCAAGGGCTCGAGTCCGGACAAACTGGTTCCGCTGCAAATGACCGGAGATGGTGGTTTAACACGCACTGTCCCTGTCGGTCCGCCGGAAAAGGGAGAAGCAGCGTGGTGGGGAGAATACTCCTGTTGTGTCATTTCATTTCAACGTCAAATAGGAAAAAACACATAATACGAGCCTCATCTATGCTACTGAGAATGTTCAGAGCCCATATTACAGTCAGCAGGGGTTTTAAATCCACGTCGGATTTAAATGGAGCTAATGGAGATAAAACTCTACGGAAGGAAAAAAGCAAATGTTACGTATACCACCGAATGACTGCAGTATGCAGAAAATAATAACTTAACAATTACCATTCACATAATCGATTTAACTGATGTTTTCCTGTCGTGCTTTAGTTTAAAACAGGAGCTGGCAAAGTTTTTCTATGACGAACCAGAGAGTTGATAATTTAGTCTGTACGAGCCATACACAGGCTGTGTCATATATTATTCTTGGAGTGTGTGTGTGTCTGTGTGTGTTTGTGTGTGTGCGTGTGTGCATGTTAACAGCCCTTTGAAAGCCGTCCCCGAGCCGCACAGAAAGGGGCCGTGGCCGGGACGCGGCCTGGGGGCTGCAGCGCGCTGACTCCCGGCTGAAACCCCGGAGCAGGTTTCTGCGAACGTGGCGAATGAGCGGGTCACGACCCTGTCGGCCTGTTCGTGGGCAGCTCGCTTCCTCTGACTCGGCAAACAGTGTTAACACCTCGCAAGGGGTGCCACCCGCCTCTGCGGCAAAGCCCACCCCCCATCGGAAGAAAAATCAGGTTCTTCTTCCAGAGACCCTCCACTTGACACGCACACAAACCCGTGTAACCCTGGCCGTGCGGCGATCGGCCTCCGGTGTAGGCGGAGTAGCACTCAGCCGGCCACCGACAGACGCAGGGCGGGCGGGGCGACAGTTCAGTGAAGGCGAGCGCTACCAAGACCTGCAGTTGTTTAGGCTTCTCCAGGGAGTGACGGGCTGCATTGCTACTTACTCTGCGCAGGCGGGCGTCGGGGTACAAGGCGGGAGGGGGCTCTGGTCTCCGCTGGTCTGGTCCGTCAGGGAATACTTAATGTTCGTGTACTCGTGACCTTTCCTCTTGCTTTTCTGGAAGGTAAAGGTTGCGTGTATGAGGAAATGTGACTTTTTTAAGGGAACCCAAAGGCCAAAGAAAGGCACCGCAGAAAGAGAGAGAGAGAGAGAGAGAAACGGGTCGGCTCCCGAGCGCTCAAGTGTGGACCGCGTGCTGGGAATGCGCCTCCTCCACATACACACGGCGCGGGCGCGGAGAGGGCTCCGGAGGCACACCGCTCAGGAGCACGGACAGCCGCGCGCTGACAGCCTGCCGCGGCAAACCGGGTGCACCTGCTCCTGGGCTGCGAGGGGAATCACACCTTCTCTGCAGGATTAGCGCCTCGTCAGTGCATCGCTCGCCGGCACGGCCTGCCGGCCTGCCGTGCACTTCAGGTAAACAGGCGGGGAAAGAGCTCCAGAAACAGTGTCACTCCAGGTGAAAATGGCACGCGGGCACGAGGACAGTGGCGCTCTTGTCAGGACCAATAAGGCACTGCGTCCCACCTTCCCCGACACCCCAGACCCACCCCAGGAAAGACCCGAACACCTTTACAACTTTATTTTTGCCTCCAGAGACTGCGGGGGTGGGGGGAACACGGCGAAGAAAACCGGTAGCACGTAAATCTCCTCTCAGGTGCAGTGTGACCTACGTCTGGTACAGGTCTGGGGAGGACTCGCCCCGAAGTGACCAGCTCCAGAGACCCGCCCCGCCCCGCCCGACAGCTGTCCTCGCGCAGTGCCGCGTGCACCGTGGGGCGGCTCCGGAAACAGTGCGCGTTAGACCGGGTGCCGGTGCCAAACACGGATGCACAAGCGGGGACTTCCGCTCGCCACCGCGGGGGGAGGGAAACCAGCACCGTCCCCGGGGCGTGCAGCTGGTCAGCACTGGCCATACCAACGCGCTGGTGTCCAGTAACAGGGAAAAGGCCTGCCTCCTGCAACCTTGGACACTTACTGGTCACCACAAAGTCCTCCTGGTTCTGCTTGTCTCCCTGGTGACCGCCGGCCTCGCCCACCCACACCACCAGTAATTAATTCGCTCCCTTGTCCCCCTGGAGCTGCTCCGGCCTGGAGCCCACCCATCCTTCCCCCTCAGGCCTGGGCCCTCTGTTTAAAATGAGGGTCTTTTTATGTCACTCCTCTGCAAGGCCTGTCCCCCTCAAAATCGGGTCTGAGCTCGCTTTTCCAATCCCACCATCACACCCCATGATCCCCTCCAACTCTCCCGCGCTCCAAACACACCAGCTTATTTCCACTCCAGAAACACGGCCACTTCGGTGGCCGGCGTCCGGCACACTGCCTGGCGCGCCGCACAGCCCACTCTAACGCAGGAACGAAGACCCGCGCGAACCACCCGGTCCACCCGGAGGGCCCGCTGCCCGAGCCTCAGCACACGCTGCAGCTGAGGGTCTGCGAAGAGAACCACGGACAGCTGACTGGTACTCCTCAAAAGCGCCACAGTCACGGGAACCAGCAACGACTGAGAAACTGTCACAGGTCAGAGGATCCCGAGACCGGAAAAGGTTATTAGTGGGAAAACTGTAGAGCTTAACTGAGAGCAACGCATTGGGGTTAATTTTATAGTTTTGACAGATGTACCACGGTTTTGTAAGATGTCGACGTCCAAGGAAACTGGGTGAAGGGTGAACAGGAACTCTCTCTAGTATCTCCGCAAGTTTTCTGTGAATCTAAAAACTGTCCTGAAATGAGACATTTCTTTAAAAAAAAAAAACCCTGGGAGCAGGGACAGTGGGTTGCATTTGTATCCGGGAGGCTACAGAGAGAGCCGGACTCGAGTGGCAATTAGCTAATCAGCGATTCAGAAAACATCACATCAGCACAAACAAGCGCACTCGGGACCCAGGTCTCGGCTTCCAAACACCGACTGACTCTTCGATGGAAAGAACCAGGACTCCTTTGGAAAATGGCTGGGAACGTACGAGGTGAACCCGGATCATCTTGTGGTGTCAAAAAGCCCCTCGTGCTCCAAAAATGGGGACACACCTAAGGGACATGGGAGCCAACCTAAAAGGTCCGTGCTCGCGAAACTGGGGACAACCTGAGCAACAGAATAAGTAACGGACCACGACCCATCCTGACTCAAGTCAATAAATGAATAGCCGACTGAGGGAGAAGGGACAGCCTGGCCTTCGCGGCGGGCTTCCGACGCATACACGGAAAGGGGGTGATGGGGAGAGAGAATGACCGCTGGGCACACGTCCCAGGAGGAATTTTTCCAGGCCGTGAATGGGCGTTAAATTCGCAGGCACGAAGTATGATGAAAACTGGCTACTGACGTAGTCTTGGTGTTAAATAACAAGGGAAAAACAGTAAGTCGACAGTGAAGAAATCTGACCGACCACACCTTAACCACACAGTGCTCCAAGGTAGCCCGGCCGGCGCTGAGACGCGTCGGCAGACGGGGCCCGACTCGGGGGCCGCACGCACCCCGGACCTCCTCCGGAGAAGACGCCACGCAAATCCAAGCTGAGGGGCCTGCTACCAAGGAACTGGCCTGAACTCTTCAAAACCGTCAGGGGCACGAGAGATAAAGACTGAGAAATTGTTCCCGATGAAAGGAGGCTAAATCTGCTTTAACTGTCATGCACTGTGGCCGTTAAATACACCACGTGACCCAGGACCACGTAAAGGGCACGGATAAGACAGATGGGCAAAACCTGCATGTTGTGGTCTGTAGATGAAGAAAATAGTGCTGTGTCATGTTAGTTCCCTGACTTTGATCATTTTGCTATGCCTGGGGGAGGGGGGGAGAGAGAGAGAGATGGGGGGAGTATGAATGAATAATCAATTGTGTTACTGTGTGAACACAGTCAGGAAAGTTGAGTGAAGGGAATTCCGCACGCTGCTTTTTGCCAATGAAAAAGCTGTCACACTGTAAGTGAAAGTGAACGAAGAACTCTCCTCTGCAATGGCAGAAAGAGTGGGAGAAGGGCCGCTCACAGAAACTCTCAGGCATTCTCGGTCCTGCCTCATTTGCATTTCCCCTGGACACCCGCCCCAGCTTCTGCACGGCCTCTGTACGCGTGGTGTCTCTGTTTCCCCACTTCCTTCCCCACCGCTCCCCTCCCATGACTCATTTCTTTCTTCCATTTTCCCCCTTTAGCAAATTCTTTCCCTCCCGGAGTTTCCTCAAGCTTCGCCATTTGGGAAATGCCTGCATCTCCATAGAATCAGCAGCGCTCCTACATGAGTCTTGCTCCTCCGTTCAATGTACAAATCAGGTGGGCTTCACGTTTTCAAGTCTGCCCTGAGCCTTTTGCTAATTGAAAGAGTACTTCTCACTTGACCACAAAACCAGGTAGCAAGTTCCCACAGTGAAGCGAACAATACAGTGCAGAAAACTACCTATTACAGGAGCCCATTTTTTAAAGTAAATGGTCTGAGCCGACACATGTTTCCTAAACACGGAGGCTCACACGCCACGTAGTGGCCAGGTTGTGCAGCGCAGTGGCCCGCGTGTGTGGCACCGAACGCTCACCGGCTGGACGAACGAACGCGTGGGTGCACACACCCCGGCTCCCTCGGGCGGGACCACCAGGGACTTCACGTGCCGTCCACATTCAGTGTCTACACCCTAGGTCTTTTTATTTTTTTAACTTTAGAGAGAGACAAGGAGAAGCACTGATTTGTTCCACTTACTGATGCACTCCTTGGTTGATTCCCGCATGCGCCCTGACCGGGGATCAAACCCACAACCTTGGCGTATTGGGACGACACTCTAACCGACTGCACTACCAGGCCAGGGCCAGTTTCTATATCCTGTGTACCACAATACTTACATTATTAGAGAATGTGTCTTGCTGTTGTCTGCTTCTTCCCTCCAAAACGGGACAGTGATAAAAAGATTTTTGTTTAGTGTGTAAATCCAAACTGCAATCTCAGATTTAGGGTTAGCGAGACCACATTTGGTAATAAGAAGATCTGAAGTACTCTAAAAGCTGGGAGGGGAAGTCCCTAAATTCTCCAAAACAAGGATGAAAACCAAAGCCTCTGAATGACACGGGGAGTGCTTCCCCCAGCTTTCCCCAACCAGGCTGCATGACGTGCTCCTAGTTACTTATTGCCCAAGAGCGTCCAGTTCGCCGGCGGGGCTGCCCTCTCTTGCTGTGCATTGGGAGCTCCTCTCTGGGCATCTCCCTGTGTTAACCATTCCCGGCCCAAATTAAGTAAAACCAGAAGATAAGTGTCCAACAGCCTATAGTAACCACCTAAGTATTTCACAGCACTTACAACAACACAGTCAGATTTACAGCAAGGAGGTTCAGAACCAGGAGCTTGCTCATCGTGTGAGCGTCCACTTCTGGACATACACTGCTGCGGAAGACGTTCTTCTACAAGGAGGCAGTCCACTGAGTGCTTCGGAGCGAACTGAGAACCCGCCACACCAGCTGGCCCGCTCAGGCTAACCGAGCTTCCGTAACGCAGCCACCGGCCTGCTCGTCCAGTCGGGTGGCGGGTCCCCCTTTTGAGAAGAGCTCAGTTCCCACTGTGAGAGGCTGAGTCCCGCGGAAGGCAGCCAACAGGGCAGAGCAGGCACATGCCCCTGACGTTCGGACACCACCCATGGCTGCAGCACGGCCATGGGGCCGGGGTGGGGGCGGGGAGGGAGACGCGCTCGGCCCCCCGAAAGAGCAGTCTCCTCATTTCCCTCGTCTCAGCTGATTCCTAATTAACTCAGCTTTGTGTCTGTTATGAATAGCTTCAAATGGCAAGGCTCCAGTGCCACATCCTTCTTCATTATGCATGCTTATTAAAATGGAAATTTCACCGTTTCCAACTCGACCAAATTGGTGTTTCAAACCACTGTATGCTATTAAGAGTGAAGCATTCATTTACGGGATGGAATCAGGATAAATATGGCCTGGATCAAACTGGAACCGGCTGGAAACTTGGAGGCCCTGAGTCTAAGCGTGCTGTGGGAGCGTGGGGAACCCTCCCCTCCCTGCGTGGCACCTCCCCAGGCCACCAGGCCCGGCCGGCGGCAAGGCGAGCCTCCCCAGGCTCCTCCGGACTGAAAAATCAGAGCCGTGGAAGAAGGAAATTTGCAGAGAGGCCCTTTCTGGTTGGGGACTCATCTCCCATTCCCAGATAAGGCCAGTCACCTATCCAAGCCCGTCCTGATCAAAAGGAGAGCCTTCGCCAGCTGCCCAGAAAAGGAAATGAAAACCCGCTCGCCAGCCCGTCCAGGCGCGGTACCTGCTCTTCTTCGATCCTGCGCTGTAGTGTTTCGATATAATGCTGCACGGCCATGTAGATGAATCGGTACTGTGCCTCCGTCTGGACCATCCCTGACCGCTGCGATCGCACCATCTGGATCGTCTTGGGAACATCGATGTCACAGTCGACGCCTGCGAAGCAAGCACCACGAAGCGTCAGGAGAAACGGCAGAGCCAGGGTAAGGGGGTTGGACGCACAACTTCCAGCAGGCTAAGGCATAAAGCAAATTTAGTCTTGCGTGTTCTGCCGAACGTGTTCCGAGGGCCACGGCACCGGCCTTCTGATCGATACCCATGATCCCAGACAACTGCATGATAAAGGTTTGGAAGCAGGGTTCCCCCACTGTCCAACACCCCACGCCGCCAGCCAGGATTAGGCGGCTGGGCAGAGAACGCCACTGCATACTCAACAAGAGGCCACAGCAGGGGGATCCCCAGATCCTGGGCTTCGTCTGAGGCCGGAAGCTGAAACGGCATCACTTCCGTTCCCTGGCAAACATACTGAAAGTTGAAGTCCTCAGCCTGGATTTTTGTGAAAATTTTTAACATTCAAATACTCTTCCCCAGGCTGTTTTCACCAGCACTTCCCGTCCACAAGCTACAAACAGGAGCTGCTGCGCCCTGCCCTCCGGGTGACCTACCTTTCTCTCTGATGATGTCAATGAGGATGTCAATCACAATGAACGTCCCTGTCCGGCCGATGCCAGCACTGTGGGCGGAAGCACGAAGAGCGATGGCAGTAAAGTCATCCGTGGGGGTTTATACTCAAAGCCAAGCTATTAATAGAGCAGAACCAATATCTGCTCTTGGGAGCATTTATACGATTGTCTACTTACACCGGGAAATGAATTTGCTAAGAGCACAGGGCTCTGGAGTCAGTCCAGCCCGCGCTGGGAGCCCAGCTTCTCCAATACACAGTGTGCCTGGGGCACAGTCTCTTACCCTCTCTGACCCTCAGCTGCCTCATCTGTGAAATGGGGGCAACAGTACGTGTCTTACAGGGTTGTTATGCAGGTCCAATGTGAGTCGTGTGTGAAAAACACTGGGCCCAGAGCAAGTGCTCAGTAAGTGGGAGCTTTTTAAAAACCAGACAAATAAAGCTTCATACACATCTGCTTGCCCAACACATGCATGACATTTAGGAAACCAAACCTTCCCCGGTATGACCGGGAAGCCCAATCCCAGGCACCAGCAGCCTGCAAACTCTGGGGCGGACGCCACAGGACTGGCTTCCAGAGGGTGGGCAGGGTCCTAATCTTTTAAGCAAATGACTGTATTGTCGGGGAAAAACATGTCTCATTTCTGTGGTAGAAGAGACTAGAATCACAATCGAAGAGATGAACACTAAATTACACTATTGAAGAAGAAAACCAAGCAAACATTACCAGACTAGGAGCTCCTTGCAAATAAGGACCGTGTTCGCCAGCCCCTGTCCCGCGCCACCCCAGGACCCCAGCAGTCCTGTAGGATCTGTGAGAAATCTACTTTGGGGTCAAAGTGTGCCTTAGTGCAGTGTGTCCAGGCCTCACACAGAGATGAACTTCTCCCCCCAGGTGGGTCTGGGGTGGGGAAGTCGGAAGCAGCCCTGGGCGTTTGGAGACAGACAGGCCGGGGCCCGGGGGCGCGAGGGCTGGTCACCTGCAGTGAACCACCACTGGGCCCGCATCCATGATGCTCTCCTGCTTGTGGTGCACCTCCTCCAGGAAGTCCAGCACACCCCCGGGGTCGCTGGGCACGCCGTGGTCCGGCCAGGTCCGAAAGTGGTATTGCCAGACGGTTCTCTCCGTATTGCCCTGGAGTAGAGCCAAGAAAAACCAGAAAAGAATTAAATAAATCAAGGGACTGAGGCACTGCCTGGCCTTGCTCGCTCAGATCCCGCGTGAGCTGAGGGGGCTGGCTGACGCGAAGCCCTCATACTCCCTTCGAGGTCCTGGACCGCTGAGTTCCTGGACCACGTCTCCTTCGGGATCTGGCAAGGCGATCCCGCACACAGCTCTGCCTCTGTCCCAAGAACCCAGACGCCTGGTGCGGCAACGTGTTCCTCAGGAAACTCCAACCCGAACCACCTCTGAGTCACCAGGGGCAGGCAAGGCCCCCAATCCTCCTCGTCCACGCACTGCTCAAACTGGGGGGCCAGGAGGCCTCTGGGACCCGGGGCTCTCCCCCCACCGGGTGAGCAGACAGGTATTCCCTCAGGTCACTCATTCCTCTTTGTCCTTTTGTACCCAGACCCCCTCCCCCCGCCCCCGAGCCACACACTTTTAGGGTAGTATCACGATACTTGAAACCTGTGCTGGGTACAAAGCAGGCAAGAAGACAGGCTCTGCCAGCAGACGGCTGCACGGAGGCCCAAACCCCACCTGCCGTGTCCCGAGGCTCTGTGAGGGCAGGGGCTGTGTGTCTCGCCTGCGGTCTGCCTGCAGGGCCGCGGGAGGGCACCCAGTGAGCGGCTGCCGGACCAAGGAGCGAGCAAGCGGGCGGGTGCCTGCAAATGTGAGTGCCTGCCCGGCGCTGGGGGCCGCGCACCACGAACAGCTGCCGAAGTCTAAAATACGACAATATACTTACTTGTCCAACCTTGGAGAGCTTCAGTTCTCGTAACGTGTAGTCATGGGCAGCGCTTTCTTTGACGTTCCTGACACGCATGACCCCGTATTCCTTCAGAGCGTACTCGTCGGGCCAGTACTTGACACATTTACTCTGAAAGGGACCAGGAAAAAGACGGTCAACGCCTGTGAACTCCGACAGAAAAGCCTAAACTGGCGGAAAGCGGATGTTCAAGCCTTGCCCGGTGACCACGAACATGTTAAACGGCCCGACACTGAACTGCTGGATTTCCAAAGAAAAGGAGAGTTCAAATTCTAAACGCAGGCGCTTGGAGGAACAGGGAGGAGAGGGGAGAAGCCGCCGCCTGTGCAGAGTGGCCCGAGTAACACACGCACAGATCAAAGGAGACGTCGGGATGTGTTTATTGACTTCCAAAGAATCAACGATGCAGAGAGAGGGAACGCCCAGGTGGGGGCGCTGTCTGCAACCACCGCGTTTGGAATTCTCCAGACCTGCCAGCCGCTCGCTCGGCAGGGAAGGCAAGCAAGGACTCCGGAGGTGGACGGGCTGCCTCCCAGGCCAGACAGTCTGGTGCGTCTCCCCCAGCGTGGGAGGACTCCGCGCCTTACCTAACCCAAGTGTGAATACCTCCAGCCCAGAAAGGCAGCCGACGGGGTTCTGAACCAGCTGCTTTTTCTATATCCAGATCCATCTGCTGCCTACCGCACGTCGCCTCCACTTAACTGGCTGCCTGGGGGCGCCATGCAGGCAAGAGCTGCCGGCTTCAGAGCAGGCAGCTGGGAAACATGGCCCCGAGAGACGTCGTCCCTGCTGGCTGCCGAAGAGGAGGAGGTTCCGCTCAACGAGAGACGCGTCCGCACGTACGTGGTGACGTGTCCTGGGCAAAGAACGATCTTGTGTTTTGGTTTTTTTCTGGGGGGCGGTCACCCATGCCACTCCCTTTCCACGACTGAGACACGAATAGCAGCAAAAGAAAGTTTCCCTGTACGTTAGGGAGACAGAGAAATCCCCGGCTATAAAACAAGAAGTGAAAGAGAAGCTGTGGACCAGCCCCACAGTCCGAGGTCAACTGAAAGAAAAGGAAAACGTGGGAGGAGGAAAGTTGGACAGAAGAATTGAATGCATGGTGCGACCTTTCTGCTTAGCACGGCTTGGGGTCTTTTAGTGTTTAGAGTTTTGAGTTCAGCTTCCCCTGCAGTGTTTTGTGGATCCAAGTACCCTGTGACAGATGTGACACATACTTTTCTCCAAATAACACTTTTAATAATAGTTGCACTCAAGGCTGTCGGCACTGGCCAGTCAATTCCGAGAGCTGCTGTGGCGCGGAGACCACAGAACCAGACCACAACTCGAAAGACGTTTTAGCTGCCTTTGAACAGCTGGGAACTCCTGCAGGCTGCCTCCTGCTTCTCCACGCTCTGAGGTAAACCTTAACAACAACAAAAAAAATCTAAACCGTGAGGGCTAACACTTTAGCTTTTAAAGCCCGGGGGATCCAAAGGAACCCAGAGTCCGGTTTTTATTCTGTGCAGAGGGTGGGCGAGGTAACACTGACAGACGGGGTGCCAGAAGGGCCTGCGGAGGGAAGGAAGGCCCCCCCGTCAGCCCCTGCGCCCACCCAGTGAGGAGGAAGGACGGGAGAGCAGGCACGCACCGGGGTGAGCAGGTGAGGCAGCGCGACGTGGGCCTCTGTGAGTCTGTTCTTGGAGCTCCTGGCAGCTCTTCTGAAAGGGACCGACCCCGAGTCCCCTGCAGTGCCACGCGCACCCCATCTTCACGGCCCCCACGGCCCCCAGGTGCTCTGAGAAACAGGCGGCCTCCTCTGCCCACCGTCAGGCAGCACATGGGACGGAGGGCGCTGCTGTCCTCTCCACCCTCAGGGCAGGTGACACTCACCTGAAGCGGAAACCAGGAAGGTGTCTGATCTGAACCACCAATGTCACTGCAGGAAACCTTTGCTTCACAACGACCAGATCAGGATGCAAGGTATGCAGAAGTGTATCGGCCACCGCACGACAAGGAAAACCCACAGGGTCGCACCGCCCTTCGCAACTGTGAGAGAAGTAGGGCAGCGGGGCTAACACCCCAAACCACCCGTCTGTCTGTGGTTTGACTCATGTGCATGACTGCTTTACAGGAGCCTATTCAAGTGCGCCTGAAAAAGCACTGTGACTAGAATGCAAACAAAAACACAGAACTTTCCCACATTAAAAAAAAGAAAAACAACCTATGTGGATAGGCTCACTTTGGGATAATACACAGAGCTCTCACGCAGTGAGATCCGTCTGCTTCTCTGTAAGTGTGGATGTCACGATTTCTGAAAACCCGAAGAGTCGAGAAGAATGTGGGGAGGTGGGTGCCAGGCGCACGCAGCTGCAGGGGTGGGGGGAGCGAACACCGGGACAACCGCTCTGGAAGGCGGTTTGGCAGGACCTGCACCCATTTACCACGGGCACTCGCTACAACCTCTCAGTTCATGACATCTGTCCTAGAGAACCACTCACCACACAGACACAAAGGGAAGAGCAAGAATGTCCACTTGAGCACTGTTTATAAAGGCGAAAACAGAAACAATTAAATGCCCGGTGCACAATGGTCAGTACATCATGATACGTATATACCACAAAATATCATGCAATTACTATGAGACGGACCAACATGTATTAGCAGAAGTTAGAACACAGCAGGGAAGAAAACCCAAGATGCACGATGAAGTTACTGTATGAAACCACTTTTTCATACCCTAATTTTCAGGAAACAGTACTATGTACTTCTATAAATACACACATGTATGTATGTAAAGGAATATACAAGGCTTGTCCGGAGAAAGTCCAGCCCTTGTTAAGACGACGAGAATGGTGTGTACAACATCCATGTAACCCGGCTGCCAAGGAGAGTGTCCTGGAATGCACATGCGTGAACACTGCTGACTTCACTGCACTAGTCAGTGGGGGTGGCAGACACCACTGCGTGAGCATGTGTACTGTGTGGCCGTCACATTCACAATGACTGAGCGAGTCCAGCAATAACTCTGCATCAGATTTTGTGTCCAGCTTGAACATTCCTCTGTGGAAACTATTTGGATGATTGAGAAGGCTGCAGCTATGGGCTACTGGTGATTAGCAGCTTGACAACAATGTAACCACTCGTGCATCACGCCTTATGCAGGGTTTTTTGGCAAAACATCACATGACCCAGGTAATTCAGTCCCCCCTACAGCCCAGATGTGGCACCCTGCAACTTCTGCCTTTTCCCAAAACTAAAATCACCTTTGAAAGGGAAGAGGTTTCAGACTGTTGATGAGATTCAGGAAAGTATGACGGGGCAGCTGATGGCAACTGGGAGAACTGTGTGAGGAGTCAAGGGGACTAATTTAAAGGCGACTGAGGTGTCATTGTCCTACGTACAATGTTTCTTGTATCTTCTCCAATAAGTGTCTCTTTTTCCTATTACAGGGCTGGACACCTTCTGCAGGCAGGCAATGCCTATGGTAACCCCTTTAACACGTGCATGCATGTAAATGCCAAGAAGAGAGTGTAGAATGACACGCATCAAACAGGGGGTGTGCGTGTTGGAGGAGGGGACTGAAATGGGTGAGCAAGGGAAGGTGACAAAGGCAACTTTAACCTTAACCGTGTTTCACTATTTCTAGGAACCCACTGTTCACGCAAGTCAAATTAATTTTTAAATGCTTAAGGGTCACGGTGAGTCCAGTGTGCACAACCCTGGAAGTCACGCTGATTTATTAGTCGTCTGTTCACCGGAAAGCACCAGCTGGGCCTCCCTACACGCCCTTTCTGACTACTGCTTCCAGGTCAAAGGGTCGCAAGTCTGGATTTCCCCTCCCACCTGCAATAGCTGAGAAACTGGAAACACGAGACGACACCTGTAACAGGACTAGTCTCAGGGACATTCAAAGTTATTGTAAACGTATCCCACGTGCTCACGGGTGCAGGGAATGATGCACATGGGAAAAAGACATCCAAGATATTACACAGACCCTAGCGAAACTTCTAGAGATGAACAGGACAACGTCTGAATGAAAGACGCACCGAGTGGGACTAAGACTATGCACTGCCGAAGGAACTACCCAAAATGAAACACGGAAGGAAAGAATGAGAACTGGGGAAAAAAGAAGAAGAAGAAGATCAAAGGCTCAGTGAGCAGTAGGACACCCTCAGACAGCCTCATATAGGCACAACTGGCGTCCCGGGACAGGGTGGGGTCAGGACACATATTTAAAGAAACGGTAAACACTATGTAAATTCGGAAAAAAAACAAAAACATGTACCCACAGACCCGAGAGGCTCAGTGAACCCCAAGGAGAAGAAACCTGGAAAACGCTACACCGAGGCGCGCCGTCACCAAATTTCTTCAGCGCCCTTTTTCCCAGAGGGTCGGTCAGCTTAAGCTTAATTTGTTTCTTCCGTTCTTGACGTGGTCAGTGTGAGCAATAATTTTAAAACATCTGATCGGGAGAGCGTGTACTGTACCTTCCCTCTCTCCACTTCTTTCGTCGTCATGACAATCACTCGGGAATTCTCCTGAAACACCATCCGCCAAAAGTCATTCACCGTGTTCTGCAGACAGCCTTGCGTGGCAATGTAACTCTTTTTGGGCTTTGAATTGTTGCACTTGGTTTCGAATTCAGGCTAGAAAATTGAGGAGGAAAAAATACATCAAACGTTTGGAAAGTTGCTTTCAGGACACGGGAGAGGATTTAAACGAAAAAACGGGCTGGCGGCCTGTGGCCAGAAGACGCTGGGAAAAGCTCGGCTTACCATGATGATATTCGCGTTGATGTAATCGGAAACGGGCTCGTTGGGGTCGCCGTCGTGCAGGACCACCCTGGTGTGATCGACTGGAAGGGAAACAGACGACAGTCACAAAAGCACTCCGACGGCGTCGGGGCGAAGCGGTCCGCATCAGTCCACCCCCAGCCTAGCCCCAGTTTGGTTCATCTGGTGATGGAACCACACGAAAAATTAAACCCTGAGTGAGCACGATAGTAACCGCGACACCGCAGGACGCCTCAGGACGCTGCCTGTAAGAGGAACCAAGCAGCAGCGCCCTCTCCTGGGCTGACAGTGTGCTACGGAAACGCAGGGTGTGGTCAGCCGGAGAAACTGGGTGAGGGTGCGTGACGCCTTCGATGTATTTGTACAGCTTCTAGTGAATCTAAAATTAATTTTTTTTTTAGCCCTGGCTGGTGTGGCTCAGTGGACGAAGCACTGGCCTGTGGACCAAGGGGTCTCCAGTTCAATTCCCGGCCAGGGCACATGCCTGGGTTGTGGGCCCAGAAGCAACCCACTAATGCTTCCTCCCACATCGATGTTTCTCTGCCTCTCTTTCTTTCTCCCTTCTACTCTCTCTAAAAACTAAGTAAACTTTAAAAAGAAATTTTTTTAAAGTTGGGCTTTTTTTTTTTAAAGGAAGAATAAAGTACAGCTAAATGACGTAAGGGCTGAGATTTGCTTGCAAGCAGCCGGAATCCGGGGAGAGAGGAGAAGTGGCCAGAGCGCAGGGGAGGCGAGCCCGGGCGGGAGCTGGCAATTACTGGGGCTGGGGGACGGGAACGTGCGGCTTCTCCACACTGTTCCGTCTGCTGGTGAACACATGGGACATTTTCCATAATGAAAAGGGGTTTCAATGAAGCAGAGTGAAGCAGAGTATCTAGAAGACGAGGTTCTGATGTATTGACTGCCCAAAGTCCATGCAAGTGGTATACAAATCTGAGTGCCCTGTCCTAAGAAACGTATTTTACAATGGACATAAGTAACACAGTTAGAGGTTTAAAAAATAGTGTTCCCCACCCAGCTTGACAGAAGCACACTGCTCATCAGAGGCGAAGTCTCACTGGGGTCTCTGAGGCAGGGAAGGCAGTCGCACTGCATGTGGGCACCGCGTGCCATGGTTCCCTTCACCTCCTCCTGCACCCCTACACTTCCTGATGCGCAGCATGAGGTGTCCTGCACCCCTACACTTCCTGATGCGCAGCATGAGGTGTCCTGCACCCCTACACTTCCTGATGCGCAGCATGAGGTGTCCTGAACCCCTACACTTCCTGATGTGCAGCATGAGGTGTCCTGCACCCCTACACTTCCTGATGCGCAGCCCGAGGTGTCCTGCACCCGTACACTTCCTGATGCGCAGCCCGAGGCGTCTTGCACCCCTACGTCTTCCTGATGCGCAGCCCGAGGCGTCCTGCACCCCTACACTTCCTGATGCGCAGCATGAGGTGTCCTGCACCCCTACACTTGCTGATGCGCAGCATGAGGCGTCCTGCACCCCTACACTTCCTGATGCGCAGCCCGAGGAGTCTTGTACCCCTATGTCTTCCTGATGCGCAGCACGAGGCATCCTGCACCCCTACACTTCCTGATGCGCAGCCCGAGGTGTCCTGCACCCCTACACTTCCTGATGCGCAGCATGAGGTGTCCTGCACCCCTACACTTGCTGATGCGCAGCATGAGGTGTCCTGCACCCCTACACTTCCTGATGCGCAGCATGAGGTGTCCTGAACCCCTACACTTCCTGATGTGCAGCATGAGGTGTCCTGCACCCCTACACTTCCTGATGCGCAGCCCGAGGTGTCCTGCACCCCTACACTTCCTGATGCGCAGCATGAGGTGTCCTGCACCCCTACACTTCCTGATGCGCAGCCCGAGGCGTCTTGTACCCCTATGTCTTCCTGATGCGCAGCCCGAGGCGTCCTGCACCCCTACACTTCCTGATGCGCAGCCCGAGGCGTCCTGAGTGGAAATGAAAACTTGGACATGAAAAGGACGAGGCTTCCCCAAGGTCATCGGGACCATGCTGTGGCTCAAACTGACTCCCTGCCGAGTCCTCACCACCCTTTCTCAGTGTTACAAATGCCTGCACGCTCTCCCATCCTGACCTACGCACATCACAAATAATCCACGTGGATGTGACACACGTATACACCAGGCACGCGTGCATCCGTACACAAAAAGCGAAGGACTGCGGCACACACAGATGGGTTTACACACAGTCTGACCGAGTGGCTCTGACCTGACCAAACAGGGCAATGCTCTCCCAATTTCATCACTCCCTGCAATAAACTTCAGTAACACGGTGTCTGAACACCGGGACATAAACCCACACGTACAATTACATACACAAACACGCCTTATCTTTAAGTTGGGTACAATGCTTTCTGCGTGCACTGCCAACAATCTGTACATCAGATTTCAGTTTCCCTTTTTATCTTACACAAAGGACAGAAAGTAAGGAGCTCCGCGTGCTCCTCCCCTTCCCCACTGTGCTTGCCCCACGTGGCCCGCTCGGGAGCCCCGTGACGGAGGGCACGACAGGAAGGACAGCAGCGACTTCGGGGGCTCCGGGACCAGGTCTCCCCCCGACTCCTACTTGCAACCTAATAGCACAGTCTGTAACAACACCTGACTGGCGTGCACGTGGCATGGATTAGGGGAGATTCGGATGCCGAGAGTGCGGCACAGTCTGCCCTCAGGGGAGCAGAGCTGTGACAACTGTTGAGTGCCACTTCTGGGGTCCTCGTCCTAGGCCGACATCCTCCTGGGCCTCTTTTCCCCCAGGGTTCGGCTTGGGTTCTACCCGGCAGCCTCTGGGTGTCAGCGGAGGCACCCCTTCTGAGCAGCGTGGCTCTGCGCACGAATCCCCAGGCACCTGAGCGCCCGGCACCAGGGAGCGGAACAGTTGTTGGAGCCCATCTGTCCCCAGGTAAGGGAGAAGAGGCTCGGAAGGGAGGCGTGCCTTTCCCGAGACCCGGGAGCCAGGCACTGCAGAGCAAGGACAGGAGCCCGAGACCCCTGAGGCTCCTGGGGCGGCCTCATGCGGGGAGACAGCAAGCCTTGAGATGATCACTCTGAGGCTGGCAAAATTAATTAACAGATAGAAACAGCCAACACTCAAAACTTCCTGGAGGCAATTTCGCTCAGTAATCAGCGTTGCAGGAGCTCGGCGAAGGAGGCCGTCAGTCCCTATTATCGCGGTGGGTTAGTTTGGAAACTGCTCCCGATGAAAAGAGGCCAGTGCCTCAGATCTGCTGAGACGGGCACATGGCCCCCAGGGACAGTTCCGGGGGCGCTGGGAGTCACAATCCCCAGAGCGACTGTGACCGCGAAGCGCATGGATACTTACAGGGCAGGATGTTTTTGTATCGGTTTTTGTTTTTATTCTCTTGCCTCTGGCCCTCTTTTCGGCTGTAGAGAAGTTTGCACTCCTGTTGCTGTAGCGTCTGGAGAGAAGCACAAGTAAACACGGTTATGTGTCAATGCTTTAAAAAAAAAAAAAAAAATACCAGCCCGGCTCGGGCGCTGCTTTTAAGGAATTCGTCCCGGGAAACGGTCCCAGGCCTGTGCGACCTGTCACAGGCGAGCACTGCCGTTCACACTGCACCCACACGGGCAAAAACGTCAGGAACAACATACGTGTCCCACAGGAAACAGCTGCCCAAATAACACCATTGTCCGCACAGCACACAAGAGAACTTTCTACAGCCGTCAGAAAGATGTTTCGGGAGAATATTTCATGCCTTGGAAACACGATCAGAGTCAGTGTCGAGAGAAAAGCTCGACCTGGCCAAACAGCGTATGACGTCAGCCATACGTCTGCGTTCGCATGCAGGACACGGTCGAGAGCTGTGCGCCCCCCCCCCCCAAAGAATGGGGTTCTTGTTCAGGTTGGTACAGCTATGAAGGCTTTTCTCCTGTTCCTCCTCCTCTTCCTCTCTCCCTCCTCCCCCATTCTTTCACCTTTTTTTTTTGGCTTAAATTTTCTACAATGAGTAAGTAAGTACTTATAAAAAGAGAAACTGTTTACAATAACAACTATTACGTAGGAGAGCCAGGCGGAGGACGAAGAGGGTGAGGAGAACCAAACACGAAACGACAGGAGCCCAGACGTGGGTGGCGAGCACACGACAGAGCACACAGATATCACAGTATAAAGCTGCAGACCTGAAATTTCTTATTAACCAGTGTTATCCAACCCCCCTGCGCCCCGCCCCCCCAAAATTTAATGTTAAAACAAAGCTGGTGGGTATTGGTGCAGAGTATACAAATAATAGACATGATCCTTGTTCTCGAGGAGTTTATGATCCGCCTCCTTTTCCCACTGCTTAATTCAGAGCGAGCTGCATATACGCCAGCAGTCGAACCTGGATCCCAGAGGGCAGTGGAAGTGGTGTGGGGACTGGGCCGCGGGCGTGCAAGCTTTGTCAGCGAGGCTTCCTTGAGGTCCTCCTGTGCCAGAAACTCATGTCACCGCCACGGGCAGCCAGCCTGCGTCCACGCAGACACTGCCTGCCCCGCCCCACGTCCCCACGGCCAGGGAGTGAAGAAGGGGTCTCGGGTTCTGGAGGCGGGTGGTCAGGAAGGATGCCTGTGCGGGGCGGGCGGGGGGGGGGGGGGCCCGGAACGCCAGCAGCGGAAGGAGAGGCGGAGAGGCTGGAGCACGCGGCCGCGGCGGGACCGGCCCCAGCGGAAGAGGGGAAGAGGGGACTGGGGAAGCGCAGAGAAGAACCAGCTGCAGAAACGGGCAGGAGGGTGGACGGGCCAGGCTGAAGCACTCTGAAGGGGTAGGTTTCATTTTCCAAATTACTAAAAGGGCCTCTTGAAGGGGCGTTCGTTTCAAACAAGCCTAATCTGTAACGGGAAGTCACAATGGGCAAATCGAGAAAGTGAAAGGCAGGGGAAAATGAAAAAGATGTGTGTGTGTGTGTGTGTGTGTTTGTGTGTGTGTGTGTGTGCGTGTAATACATAAACGCCGAAATGGTTCTCTCTTCAAGATTTCTACAGGAACTGACAGTCAGTGTTTCCTCACACGGCAGCCCTGTTCTTTCCATTTCATTTATCTGAGTCTCACAGGCAGGTGTGAAAGGCAGGAGCTTAAATTGCTATTTGACTTGCAGTTTCCAAACGCAATATTCGGCCTTGACACACAGCTCGTAACAAAAGCGTTCGGCTGGCTGCAACCTGGGAAGGGGTAAACACGATGGGCACAGAACTCTGACGACGCAAACGGTCCTTCCGTTTTTTTTAAACGAGCGCAGGTTAACTAAAGCCATGTGCCCCCACCCCACCCCACCCCACCCCCGAGCTGGCATATCCTGTGAGCTGTGAGCCATTTCACTGAGCGGTGTTTGCTGTGTTATTAAGACGGAGGTTCGATCTTGATTTTTAGGCATTAAAGTGAACTTCGAAAAATCCAAATACTATGAACTGACTCAATCACTTAAAAACCACCCAAGAAAAACAACATTAACAAAAGCTACAAGTGCGGGACCGTCAGTGGCCAGGTCTGAAACAAGCGTGGCAGGACAGCGAAGGCGGGCTCACGGGGGAAGCAAACTGCATGCGACACTTCACTGGGGGGGTGCGTGGCCGGAGCCACTGCCCCGAAAGGTGCATCCCGCCCAGGCCCTCCCTGTGGGACCCCCTTCGGTGTCTCCCTCCGCCCTCGGATCAAGCCCAGGCTTTTCGGAACAACTCGCGAAGCCTTCTTGTCTGAGTTCATGCAGGCCCACCTCTAACCCGAGCTCCCGCTTCGCCAAGTTACCAGCCTGCCCGTGCCTCAGTTTCCTCAAATGTGCACTGAGGATGACCCTAATCGCCCACCCCCTAGGGCCGCTGCACGCGTTAACTGAGATTGCTCTGTGAGGGGCAAACCCCGTCTGGCATACGAGGAAGCGCGTAAGCAACGCGGGCCACGGCTGTTCACCAGTTAGTTTCTGCTCCGTGAGCATCACACCCAGCAGCTCCGGGCCCCGTCAGCAGACCAGCGGCAGCAGCGTCCCCTGGGAGCTACTCAGACACAGAGGCGCAGGTCCTGCCCGGGGCCGGCCCACTCCAAGTCTGCCTTCAACAGGATCTCCATGCAGCTCACACGCACACAGGAGTGGGAGACACGCTCTCTGTTCGCCAGCCGCACCAGATATGCTTTCCTGCTCTCAAACACGCTACCCCGTCTGCCTAGCACTCGCTTTCTCTGCCTGGAACACCTACACACAGTTACGGTTTATTTATTCCCTAAGACCTACCTCAAATACCTCCTCCTCCGGGAAGCTCTCCTGACCCACTCGGTGTGGGGGGGGGAGGGGGTTGGCGCGCAGAGCACGACCTCCCTGTGCCATGTGATCACTACTTCCTTAGTGCACCATCCGCAGTACCTTCCCTGCTGGGAAGATCTCCTGAGGTGTCCTCAGGCCGACCCTCAAAGGAGGACGGGGCTGAGAGACCAGGGAGAGAAGCTGACAACTCCAGGGTTAAACAGTTTATTAAGGGAACTTACAGACAGAAGCAGAATCTTGGGCAGCAGCAAGACTGTGGACCTCCCCACTCTAGAGAGGATGAGGGCTTGGTACGTGTGTATGTGTGTGTACATGCATACATACATACATGTGTGTCCGTGTCTGTGTGTGTGTGTGCACAGTCACCAGGAACACAGGTGGCCCGTAGCCAAGTGGCAGGTGCTTGTCAGGAGCCCTGAGCCACTTAGGCGGTAAGCAACTCAAGGGTCCTTCTGAGCTATCCTGTCAGGGATGTGGGTCCACCCCCACCTCCAGGGTGAACTGGGGGTCACCGAGAGCAACTTGCTTCTTAAGACGGCGTCGGTCACATCAACAGTAAAAACCACTTTGCCCAGCACCTTCCAGGAGTACACCTGTCACACTGGACACCCCCTACGTTTTGCCAATCTGTCTCCTCCACAGAGTGGGGACCACCTTGCGGTGCCTGCAATTGGCGGAGCACCGGGCACGCGGTAGGCACTCAGAATGTGCTTGCTGGATAAGCAAATGAGGACCAGGGAGGGAGGGGCGGGGCGGGGCGGGGCGGGGCAGACGAACCACAGGTCGGCACCAGTTCTGGCCTCGGCACCCCAGGCCCACACTTAGAATCCTAGAATCCCAGCCTGGCACTGCTGACCCGGGCTTCAGCAGGAAGGAAGACCACTATGGGAAAAACGCCAGAGTGTTTCCCAGTCTTCAGTCACCTGGGAAGCAGCTTCAAGGTGTCTGCCACCTCGGCACACCACCTACCTGTTCCGTCAGTTGTTTCCTTCCATTCACCCCCTCTTTCTCCTCTTCACACAGCGTATTTCAAAAGGAAACCTCCTATTACTCACACACACACACACGAGAAAACCGCCGTTGCTTGCCGTACACAGAAGGAAACCAGAGAAGGGAATATGCCGTTAGCAGATTCTGCCTCGGCCCTGCAGCAAGCCTGGGGCTTCGTGACACGGGGGCCCTGGCAGGCGCTGGAGGCAGATGTCAAAGACGCGTTAGCACTGCACTGAAACCACCCCCTCCCCACCAGCCTCGTGGAGAGGTCGGGATGAGGGTTAAAGAGGAGCACCTTTCTCACTGGCTAATTCTGCCTTACCCACTGGAACAGGGCGCCACCGAAAATCATCTCACGTACAAACACTTAGCCAGGCCGAACTCAGAGTTCCAGGCCAGCCGGAAGCCTCCCTCGTCCCTCATCAAGGTCCCCACCGCCTCTTCCTCATGGATCTGGGATTTGAACAGCACGCAATCCAGACGGGCCTGCAGGCCCTGAGTCTTCCAGGAAGGCACGGAGCCCCCGAGTCCCGGGCACAGTCGGGTGCGAGGTGCCTGGAGCTGGCGGCTCTCAGATTAATGACGACTACCCGTGTGTCTCCCCCAGCTCCTCCCTGCGTGCCCAGGAGCCCCTTCTCATCTGTGCCTGGGGCCCACGTCGCCTGCACACATTTCATTTCCCGCAGTGAAAGGCTGCCATCCATCTCGAGTGACGCTGGAAATGAAAGGAACTCGGAAGTGGTGACTCTCCAGCCCTGCCGCGGCAGGCTCCCCAGCCTCGCTCGAGAAGATCAGCGGCCGCCTGCACTGCGTGCTTCCTCCCCAGCCCCAGGCTGGCGGCTGCAGGCGGCGGCCGGTGCCCGGCCAGCCCTGCCCCAGGAGGCTGCCTGCCTGCCGTGGTGTGCCTTCCACAGCCTCCTTCTCTCCGGCAGCCCCCGGGGCACCAAAAGCTGACAAGGGCCTGTCAGGCTGAATGTCACCGTGCGTCCATCAATGATAAGGCTGGGACGGGAGCAAACAGGACTATATAAAGCGGAGACACAGGCTCAAGACACCCCGTTTTTCCCTGCAGTACTGCTCAAGGGTTTGCATGGATGGGTGAACCCTCAGAAACTGCCCGAGGCTAGTTCTGGTCACCTGACTGCATGAGTCAAAGCAGATCTAGAGCGAAGGGA